TTCATACAAAAGTCAGGGTCCATTTGACCCGCTAAATATTGACCGATCTTTATCAAAACAAGTATGATTATTCTTTGGTCCGATCCCCTTCTCCATGTAAAAATTCGAGACGTTTGGGCCATAATTGCAGCATCTGGAGCGATCAGAAAAACCGATAAAAATTAAGTATTTGGTCCATTTTATCCCCTAGATATTAACCGATCTTTACCAAAAACAATAGGGGTCTTCATTGGCCAGAACCCATCCTACATACAAAATTTCGTGAAGATTGGTCCATAACTGTGTATATAACTGTATCGTGTTTACAAATTATAATTATAATGATCGGTATACTTAAAGGTGGGTCTAGGACTAATATTTCGCGGCGTTACAAACTCTTGGGGCTGCACAAAGCTATAATACCCTGACAACATAGTTGTGTCGTTCGGACTCTAATATTGCTATCACCGATATGTTGTGAGAACACATTTAACCACAGATACATTCAATATTTTGATACCCTCAGCCTTATGGCTAATGAGGGACACACACTTTGATAGTGCAAAATAGTGCCTCAAAGAAATATTGACTTTAGGACCCATTTTTCTTTGAACCAAATCCGTTTCAGAAAATTTGGTGTTGATTAACAACTGTCCGTCTTTCTGTCTGTCTAGCTGGTGAGCACGATAACTCTCGAAGTGAGTAACGGATTTCATCCAAACTTTGCACATCGCAATATTTCTACCAAACTTAGTTTAAGTTCTAAGATATGGAATATCGGTTCACTCCTTCTGGTACCTCCCACACAAAATGGTCAAAATTTTGCTTATAATATCATTTCAACGACAAATAGCGGGAACACTCAATATTAAAAAAACCTGTAAAATATTTAATATAAGAAACGAAAAATGGTTGCTCCAACAAATAGCCGATAATCCAAGGCTAAGTGCTCCTAAACTTGCTGAAATCTCAGAGAAATATCTGGAAAATAAATGTAAAAACAATTTTACACTTTGGAAATCTATTACATTTGCTGATGAAAGCAAATTTAAATTGGTCGGTTCGGATGGACCAAGTAAGGTATGGCTCAGGGCGAATAATGCCATGGACCCTACTCACACAATTTTGACAGTAAAGCACGGAGGAGGCTCTGTAATAATACGGTACTGTATAAGCCCTGCCCCTACTCTCGTTTTTATTTAATGATTTATGGATAAGATTTATTATTTAACACTAGATTGCCGAGAGCAGTCATTTTGACGGTTTTTCAATTTCAAGTACAAAAACAATTGTGTATATTATGACCCAGCTTTTTAAAATTTGGTGACTTTTTCTACCACATCGAACTACGTTTATTAATCATAGTAGCTGCTTCCTCCCCTCTTTCATTCCCCGTATTCACATGTGCTATACCTATATAGCCTAAAAGCGGTCATTTTGACCTTTTTGAAATATTAAATAATCAAACTACTTTTATTACTGTATAAAGTAAATTTCTTATATGACCAGATCGGTACAACAACATCGAAACCCGTTTGCTACTCTAGAAACACATACGAACACACAAATCGGGAAAAATTAATTTTATATTTCCAGTCGATTTCACTCTTAGAGTAAAGTCTTCCTCTTTTTTCGAACGTTTTGTCCGCGCTCTTATTTTTCAAAAGGGGAAACCCGAGAGCCCTACCACCGAAAACAAATAATAACAACGTTTTGTATGATTGTAAATAATGTAACAAATATTAAAAAAATATTTTAAAAAAATTTCTTTACACAATAAAAAATTTTTCAGAATGAAGTCATTTTGACCGATTTTAGGCAATATAGGTATATACAAAATTCCCGTCTTTCTAGTGTTAAACATTCTAAAAGATAATTTCAAAAGTAATGCTGAAAAGTTGAGATTGGGGTCAACATAGAATGTATGCTTTGGATGGACCATATTAGAAGCCATAACAAGTCTAAAAAATGCTTTACAAGTACAATGGGGGAAAATACAGGCATCTTAAATGGAAAACTTGTTCAAATCTATGTCGGTAAGGATGAAAGCTGTAAAAGATAAAAAGGGATATCATACTACGTATTAACAACCCAAAAAATCCGTTTGTTAAAAAAAAACTTGTATCTCGGACACCTTGCACTGGGAGCTTGCATTGGCTTTTGTTAAACAATCATTATTTTTTAAATTTAATTCACATTAATATTTTTTATTTTATTGCATATGTTTGTAACAGGCAAAAGGAAACGAGATAGACCCTTGGTTCTTTTTGGGCATATGCACAGATTCACTTTCTGGGTCGATTTATGCATATCCGTCCGTCTGTTGATGTTAAATTGTAAACAAAGTACGGGTCACATTTATGATCCGATTAGGATGAAATTTGGCCCAAGAACCAATCCTATTGAAATTGGAGAAAATCGTTTTACATTTAGATATAGCTCCCAAATATATATGTTGTCCGATTTTATGTAAATGGTGCGCACCAAAGTCCCAATATTTTTTGATTTAAAGCGTACAGCATACTGAATTAAATCCAGTTTGATGTCTGTGATTTTTTGTTGAAATCGGTTCAGATTTAGATATAGGTCCCATACATAATTTTGCAGGATTTCATACAAATTTTACACCAAAAAAATCCAAGTCTGCCCGATTGACATTCAATTTTTCATAGAGTTCAGAATGATATGTGTATGGTTTTTTATTGGTTCAAATATCTGTGCAGATCACAGATTTTTGTCTCCCGATTCCATTACAATGGTCTTCTAGAGATGATATGTCTCTTTTATCTACATGATATTGCACATATTATCATCTCTTGTATGTACCCAAAGTGGTGAAGGGTATTATATATCCGTCCAACCTTTGATTATTCCTTACTGGTTTTATTATATAAACAATTGTATACTTTTGTCACTGTATTCCTGATGGTGTGTGTGGCCTTGAGAGGTCAACGTCCACCGCTAGAAAATATAGCCTTAGTCCGCTAGAAAATATAACCTTAAACGTCACATTAAAACAGAACAGAATATTTATTGGATATGAATTCTAACCAGACTGATAACAATGATAAGCACCAGTCGATGCCTATGGGGTGACGAATGTGCCCCATCAAATGTAACCGGGTAGGGATACATTCGGCGAATTTAACTTTGCAATTTTTCAATTTTTCTAGAAATGGCGATTTTGATACATCTTAACATCATGTTAAGGCTCTAAGTCCACTTTTTATATTGGGGATTTTGGACATAATTTTCAGCCGAGTTGTCTGTAGTTTGGTATTTTTGGTACTTATGTGGTGGCACATTTTCCAACAAAAAACTATCAATATTGGTCTACTTTTTAGGGTTATCACCAATATTCGAAATTTTGGTAGGTTTAGGCACGTTTTTGAAACTAATAGGCCGTAATTTTATAATTGGCACTCTAATTGGGTACAAAATCTCCCTACCAAAAAATTATCAATATTGATCCAAGTTTTGGACACCCATTTTTCGGTATTTTTGGTAAGTTTTTCAATCGAATATGTTCTAATTTGATATTTTGGGTTTTCATTGGTTGTCCAATCTTCCTACAAAAATGATCGATATCTGTCCGCGATTTGGTATAGACCCCACAAAACCGTAGAGACAACATTTGAGGATTTCGGTACGTACAAGGTCCTAGCCAGAATATCCAATACCCTGTATTTTTGATAATTCATTATCTCTTGGTAGTTATATACCATGGCATAACACCCATATGGAAGTCCCGATCAATTTTAATTAAAATTTGACTGTGCATAAAAAGTTCGGCCCTGTCGAACTTAACAACGTTTTACTTGTTTTTATTCATATTTATTGAATAAATTATGATTCCAAAACAATATTTTTCTTCTAAATAATGTTAGCATGTAAAAAATCAACAAAAGTACACATTTATTGCAGAAATATAAATGTAATGAGAGACAAGTCGTAAGAAAAATACCTAAGTCATTGAGAACACGAACAAGCAACAGAAAAAGCTCTAAGTGCCAAAAAACGTGTGTGTATCTCCGCAAATACTTTTTTTTATATTTTGCCTTTACGAAAATAAAATGCACATACAATACAAAAACAAATTGCATTTAAAGATATAAAAAATGTTTATTCAAAGGAAAGTTTGATGGTTTTTTTGTCTCTTCTGAAAAGTTGTGACTTATTGCCTTTACAAGTTATGCCAAGGACCTAATTTGCTTGGTACCTACATGTCCGCTACAACAGTACTTGACTCTACTAATTTATCAGCATAATGCCATGTTTAGGGACATTGGAATCGTCATTACTACTTTTATACTCAGTGATTTACCCATAACATTTCTAAATCTCTCAAATTAATTATTTCTATTGTCTTTAATCCTTTGATATTTAAATACTTTGCCACATTGTGCCGTCTACAGCAATCAAATTCACTGGTTCATACCCTAAAGACATTTCAATTGAAGTTACATGTGTCGAATGTCAAAGCCACAACGAAGACACAATACCCCTAGTTTATGATCTGGACAAAGCAGTACGTACTTCGTGTCTTAGACCGAACACTCGACCACACACACACTCATACATCCAAAATTATTCGCCCAAAGCTATTTTTTACGTTTTAATTGGATGTTGTGACATTAAGGAGTGCATTCAAAATATTCGTGTCAGTGTGTGTGTGTATGTGTGTTGGACCAGTCACTGCCAGAGACAATTGGATATTTTGACATGTCAGTGGGAGTCATAATCTTCTTCTCATTGTTATTATTATCCACAAAGATTTCATATGGTAAAATAATAGCCATCTTTAATTATAATAAAAACCAAAATCTCTTATTAGAACAAAGATGGATGTCACAGGTCATTAAATGGAAATGAAATATTCTTAAAATAAATAAAGAGAATAAAAATGTTTTTTTTAACAATTGTGGATTAAAAATTGCTTTCTTTTCATTACTTTAATTATTATTCTTTTTTAAAAATTTATGTTTTCTTTTGTGAATTATTACAACTTTAATAAATTAAAATTTTCGTATCGAATTCTCTTCCCAATCAAACACAACACACTCACACAGATTGTATGCACGTTGCCTCGGAACCCGGGGATTATGCATTCAAAAAGCTACCGCCCCGCCCGTCGACTGCAGCAACGGCAGCATTATTTGGCAACACCGATGATACGGCAGCCATACTCCAATTGGAGGAATCCCTGCAGGTTTGCGGTCTTTATGTGATTGGAGAACCTGATACAATCGTCGAGATAACGATGAAGTATTACGATGTCAATTGTGAAACGGGAGCACTGATGGCGGTAAGTATGAAGCTGCTGCTGTTGATTCAAGGTGGCCAAAAAGGGTTAAAGGTTAAAAGGTCAAAATTCAATTAAAAATTTAATCTTTATTTGTTTTCTCATTTGAACACGCATACACACAAACGAACTGCAGTTTGTCGATGGCTGGGAATTAAATGGCGAATATTTTCCCTCGCTAAGAGATCATCATCGTTCGTTGGAGGATAGAGTTCAGGAATTTTGTAATAACTACAAACAATGGTAAGTCAATTTTAAGTTTGTTAATGGAAATTATAAAATACCCCGCAGAGTAAATTAATTTAAGTTTGGGTGCGAGAAAGTTGCGAGTTTATATGGGAGATATATCTAAATCTGAACTGATTTCCACAAAACTTTGCATACATCAATGTGGACCTATTTCAGTACTCTGTGCAAACTTTTGTTTGAATCGGACAAACCGTGGGTGTTTGGTGCATCATTTTGATTAAATCGGGCAAAAATATATATATGGGAGCTATATCCAAATCTCAGCCGATTTCAACAAAACTTCACAGACATCAAACTGGACCTAATTCAGTACACTATGCTAAATTTTGTATCGATGGGACACATATTGGGAGTTTGGTGCACTATTTACCAAAAATCGGACGAAGCTATATATGGGAACTATATGTAAATCTGAACCGATTTCTAAAAAAACTTCGTATACATCAATATGGACATATTTCAATACGCTTTGCAATGGGACACTCCTTGGGAATGTGGTGCACAATTTATATAAAATCGGACGAACTATATATAGTAGATATGTCTAAAACTGAACCGAGTTCAACAAAACTTCACGGACATCAAACGGGACTTAAGTAGTACGCTGTCCAAAATTTTGTTTCAATCGAACAAATATTGGCAACATTTAGATAAAATCGGACGAAAATATATATGGGAGCTATAACTAAATCTGAACCGATGTTCTTCAATTTCAATATGGTTCGTTCTTGGGTCGAATCATCGGATCATAAATGTGATCTGTACTTTGTTCACAAGAATACATGGACAGAAGGACAGATGGGTTACAAGCTGAACTATTCAAGACTGGTGGTCAGATGCTGGTAAGGAGCATGCACCAGCTGATTAGCAGAATTTGCCTAGGGGAAAGCATGTCCAATGATTGGAACATCAGCATCCTCTGTCCCGTGCACAAAAAAGGAGACAAGATGATATATGCCAACTATGGAGGAACTAGTATCCTACGTTGGGTCCAAGAGCCAATTATAATATTGGACCATACCAATGCGGCTTCAGACTTCAGATTTTAACACTTCGCCAAATACTGGAATAGACCCACGAAAAATACATCGACACTGTCCAACTTTTCGTCGACTACAACCCCGCATTCGACAGCTCAATTCACTCAGAGGATTTCAAAGGCATGTCTGCGTTTGGCATTTCTGCAAAATTAATACGGCTATGCAAAATAACTTTAACTGGCACAAGGTCAGCAGTTAAAGTCGAAAAGGGCCTTTTAAAGCCCTTCAATACCGAAGGAGGGTCCGGACAAGGTGATAGTTTGTCATGTGACCTGTTTAACAACATCCTGCTGGAAAAGGTCATACGAGATGTAAATGTGAACAGAAATGGCGCTCTGTACACCAAACAACACATGCTACTCGCCTACGCAGACGACATCGACATAATGGGTCGAACAATGCGAGCGGTAACAGCCACCTTTGAACGAATTGGGAAGGAATCTGCCAAAGTGGGACTGGCAGTAAATGGCGAGAAGACCAAGCTGATGGTATCAACGAGCAAGACGTCCAGTAGACTATGGAGCTTGAAAACCACAGCTTCGAGGTAGTGAACGATTTTATATACCTCGGCACCGCCATAAACAAAACTAATAACATCAGTTTTGAAATTCGGATAAAAACAGTGTTGGCCAACAGATGCTATTATGGTCTAAGTAAGCAATTCAGAAACAAGGCCACCTCTCGCTAGACCGAACTCACACTCTACAAGACGCTGATATTACCCGTGCTGTTGTATGGATCTGAAGCATAGGTACTTGCGCAAGCAGATGACACATATCTTGGAGTATGAGAGAAAAATTCTCCGGAAGGTCTATGGGCCGACCTACGTCGACAGTGAACATCGCCGTCGAATAAACTATCTATTTTCGGACATCGACATAGTCAGACGTATCGAGCTGCAGCGACTACGTTGGCTAAGTCATGTTGTGAGAATGAATGAGGATGCCCCAGCTCAACAGGCATATAAAAGCGAACCAGCTGATGGTTCACGCAGAAGGGGAAGACCACGAATCCGATAGAAAGATCAAATGGAGGAGCTGCGCGTAAGAACGACTTGCCTGAATTTTTTTAAGCCCGGCTTATGGAACAAATGTTCTGTCACAAGTCAGCTAAGTAAGTACATGAGTTTTGTCTAGCATAGAGCACTTCAAAACCTTTCCATCTCCAAATAATTCCAAATAAGATGAATCCAAGGTTAAAACTAGTTAATGGTTATGACATAAACCAAAGCATAGTCCTCTAAATCGAATGAGCCAAAACTGAAAAAACATAACCCAATCCTTTGCACAATTGGATCTTTTTAATTCGCCACAACAATGATTCATGTCTGCAAAAAAATCACCTACAAATCCAATACGAATACCGAAGGGGCCCAAAGAGAAATTTACGAATATAAATACACTATTTATGAAGCACAAAATACGCAATAGTTTTTAAACAACATTAAAAGAAACCTCTCCACTAATTCCGTAATTATAATACTTTTGTCTATTATTTTAGGCCACGTTTGTCGGGTAAAAAATTCTTCCGTTCCAGTCAAAATGCTGCACTTCTTCAATATCGTATACCGGTAAAGGGTAGCTTCATTGCCAATGTTCGCTTTCATAAAATTACGCAACGTAAGTAAATCAACAGAGTACCCTAGTGTTCGAAGAAAATTGTTTATCCCTTCTTCTGTAGCATGCAACATTTTGGTCCAGGACATTGATGCCTTATATACAATTGCAAATTATGGCCACAATCGTAATTGTACCATATCAGCCCTATTTCCCGCTGTGGTGTCTGTGGCCAATCTTAAAATTGGTGGCAAAGCTGTCAGACAGGATAAACCGAATTATGATGTGGGTATACAGCCGAAAGGACAATATTAAATTGTAACATTATTTTCATTTCGTTACATTAATTCTTTGCAGTGTGGCATGTTTGCTGACCGTTTAGAAGTTGGTGGCTCATCTGGTTTAGATTCAACGACCATGGAAAAATCAAGTGAAATTTGTGGTTTGGCCACGGAGCCAGGTAAATATGAGAAATAAACTTTGAATGTTTATTTAAACTTGATCAATAGAACTTTAGTATAATAAAGCATTTATTTTAAATTTTTTAAAAAACCAATTATTCCTATTAGATAGATGATTTCTAAATCTATAATTTTTGTATTCATTTTCCAGGACCAGAACAAGCCATATTTTGCGGGGTAACCACATTACGTTTGGTGTCCACTGGACGTTTTCAAAATCAAGCAGCTGTAATGATACGCAAAGCTGACGAGCATGATCTAGACAAAGCCACATTAATTTGTGCCCTATAAATGATTGACCGTTAAACTATCATAACAGCAAAAAAAAAACAATTAGAAAATATTAAAATAATACCCAACCTAAATGATAAATATTCCAGTATTATGTAGTTGTAGACTTTATGACCCATGACACAACAAAGAGATGTCAAATTTTAACCATTCTCTCCCCCATTAGCACGCTATCATAAATATTTTTAAAATGTTTTAATTTAAATTTAATGTACAATTTAAAAATCATAATGTATATAGAACACTAAACATTTAGCTTTTTTTATTTTTAATTTTTATTTACACGACGTACAGTGGTTAAAAATCGAAAACAGTAGGGTAATAATTCCAACAAAATTAGATTGCTTATAAACTTGAAATAAATATATTCCAGCAATCAGTCTCTTAGTTAAAATATGAACAGACATGGAACCTATTAGGAAACTCATTCCTGCAAATAATGCATATTTCATTTTTCCGAATTATTTCCCAACAGTTTTTTGCTTTGCAAACCACTGTCTTCTGCTACATGTCTCGAAAAGAGTAGCACATTACCAAAATTATCAATTAAATCAAACAACAAAGTATTGTCCAATAAAAACAATTAAAAATCCCATAACCATATATAATAAACAAAATAATAAATATATATACAAACAATACGATTATATCTGTAAGTATGATTGCAACATTTGAAAAAAATGATCAATAAAAATTATCTGAATGTATTAAACAATGTGACAATGTTTCATTTTGCAGAAAGGGGGGGGTATATAAATGCTATAATATAGATGATAGAACATTCATTTTGATTATAAATAATCGCAATGTTATTAAAATCTATAAAATATAAACTGATTTTATTTTACCAGCCAATAAGAAAGAAGGACCCAAAACACCCAACATTCCGATAGTATCGTTACATTGGAGATATATATTCTACACTAAATACTTTAGAACACCTAAATCCGATCGACATCCTTTATAAATTGCTGTATGAAAAATAAACGTACATAGAACATTTTTGATCTCGGAACAAACCCGTTATGTTGGAGCTTATGAAACATATCTGCTAGGGAGAAATGCGTTTAAAAATTTAAAAAAAAGTGTATAGATACATGACATTTTCCACATTAAACATTCTAGTCATCTTAGAAAGCTATGTTCAACATTACAATTCGCTTGCGAATGAATTAAAATACATTCTTTTCGTTTTGTGCTCATTTTACGAATGCATTTATGGCGATAAATTCTTTACCAAACGAGCATTCGCCAAAGAATGTTCGCACAACCATAACAAACGAGTGAGAGCACACAAAAACGATAGTTCGTTTCGTTTGGTGGTTGAAATTCTTTCTGACATTCTCTCACGAATGAAAACAAACATTTCCGAATTCTCGCGAATGCTAAAAACGGCAACAACAACAAATGCTCGTGAAAGAATGAATCGACGACGCTTGCAGCGAAATTTCATCGTTCGTGAATTGTTCGTACAATGCGAACATTTGCGAAAGACTGCAAATGCTTATTCATTCATTGTAACTTTATCATTTGCGATAAATTGAAAACCTTAAAATTCTCGGCCGTGAGCATTCGTGAGAAAGAGCGTATTTTAAGCATACTTCGCACCCTGCCCTTCATCACTTTGGGTACATACACAAAAGATGCTCATATATACAAAATTGTGCAGGTAGAATAGACATAGCTTCTTTGGATGACCATTGAAATAGAATCGGATGAAATTAACTGTGTGAAGTACAAAGATATTTGAACTAAATTAAAACAACCCATCTGCATATGAACCAATTCGAACAAAACTTCGCATACATCAATGAGGACCTAATTCAGTACTCTGTGAAAAATTTTGTTTCAATCGGACAAACATTGGCAGTATGGGTATCCATTTACATAAAATCGGACGAGAGACTATATATAGGGGATATATCTAAATCTGAACCGATTCCAACAAAACTTCGCATACATCAATCGGATAATTATTGGGAGTTTGGCGCACCATTTACATAAAATCGAACGATACTATACATGGTTTCTATATCTAAATTTGAACCGATTTTCATAAAACTTCACAGACATCAAACCGTATCTAATTTGGTACGCTGTGTAAAATTTTGACCTAATCGGACAATTATTGGAAGTTTGGTGCACTATTTACATAAAATCGGACGAAACTATATATGGGAGCTATATCTAAATCTGAACCGATTTTAGCCAAATTGTGCAAAATTGCATCCAATTCGGCTCATAAATGCGACCTGTACTTTGTTTACAATTTAACATGGACGGACAGAAAAATGGACGAACGGGTGGGCAGACATACATACATCGACTCAGGATGTGATTCTAAGCATATTCTATAAAAGAACAATGGGTCTATCCCAATACTAATTTACCAGATTATTAATCACTCTCATTGCTAATCATAAACTGTCTAAAATCGATAGACAATGGAATATTATACATCCGATGATAACCAAAAAATACAAACTATACCCCTAAATATAAAATAATGGGGATACCGCTATATGGGGCCTAACTCGAAATGAGAATTCAAAATATTAAATCACAGACAATTTGATTGAAAAAGATGTGCAATCCTCGCAATATTTATTTTCACACACATTTGCTTATAAAATATTATATGTGGCCCTCAAAGACGATAAATTGATATTTGAAATATTTAATGTTCTATTCTCAATTTTAGTATGGAGGGTATATTAATTTCGTTTTTCCGTTTGTAACTCATCGAAATAATCATTTCCGAACCTATAAAGAAGGCCAAAATTTTGCACAGGCAAAGTTCGAAGATGGCAGGTCAAGTTCGAAGATGGGCTATATCGGTCCACGTTTATTCATAGTTCTTATATAAGGGTACCCCCCAATTTTCGGTATTTTGGGGTTCTATAGCGCGGGTTTTTACTGAATTCGATTAAATTTGGTACAATCGGTTCTTATTGGATACCAAATATCTCCATTAAAAATTATAAATATCCGTCCACTTTTTCTGGTAGCCCCTATATAACAGTTCCCCCTAATTTTCAGTTTTTGGGTTTTGACCGGATTTTTGTAATTTAATACTTTGAGTTCTTATTGGGTAGCAAAACTCTACATAAAAAATTATAAGTATAGGTAGCCCCCATATAAGTGTACCCCATTTTTCGATATTTTGAGGTTCTTGAGCGAGTTTTTCAACCGAATTCGCTGTAATTTGGTATTTTGTAGTCGTATATGGTAACAAATCTCTCCAACAAAAATTATTAATATTCACCCCATTTTAAGGGTATTCTCCAAATAACCCCCTTTTTTTAATTAAAATATTTATCTGATTTGTTCCGTGTGTTGAGGTTGTCGCCTCATTCTATGATATGGGGGTAGTCGTTACTGCGATTTAGCCATCTGTTGTAATCATTACGGCTTCTAAAGATATCGTGATAAAAAAACTCAAACTTGACATTAATGAAATATATCGGCAGGCATTTAGGCATCTCCTCCATATAATGATACCTCCTGAAGGAAAGAATTGAGATAAAAAATTAAAATATTGGGTTCAAAATTGGCATATACCGCTCATTAATTAGGCATAGGCCTCATCTAATGATATCCCCAAATATTCGCTACTACCTATACTACGTAATCAATATTGGTACCCCTTTAAGCATAGCCTCATATAACTTTGTAATCTAAATTACAGTAGTTTTAGGATTTTATACTCTATCATGCGAAAGCTCCACGTTTTGGAGCTTTCAGATTTTAGGCAAAAATTCCCATTAAAAATTGCTGAGATTTGAATTTGGTGTACATAATGCTTTACATAAGTCGGTTTGTATAATTATCGGAATATGCCCACTTTTTGGTATGTTCCCTATATTTTCATTGCAAGTATCTGTCAGTATACCTATGGTGAACTTAACGTTTTTTCAATTGTTTTTACTGCCACTTTATACCTTCCTTATTATGTAGAACTGTCGAATTCGTATGAACTATATAATAAAACTTATATAGTTACGCTAACAACGTAAAAAAATAATATCTAGGAAATAGAAGAGGTTTTCTTATTTTTGAACCGGATATTCAGATAATATAGAGGGTATATCATATAAAAAGAATATGTCTTTTATTTACATATACTTCTGAAACCATGAAATTGATAACCCTATATATAATATCGACATTGTCATAATATTTCAGAGGACTTCAATATTTTTTTTTCTATTACCGTTTCCGGGAATTCTTATCATGGAATCACAGAAAACAAATTTTTAGTCATTATTTTCTATATATTTTCAATAAGAGACTCTAATGACATATATTACTTATGTACTGATTTGCATTATTCGACTACATTCAACGGTATCTATAAATTTTACATGGGTGAACTTGAACTACTGTTCAATTTCATATCAATTTGATTTTCTTTTACTGATCGTCACCTGAGGCAAAACAGTAACAAAACTTTATTATTATTGTGTTTGTTCACGTGAAACTGTAAAATATTTTAAAGCAACAACAAAGAAACATCAAACTACATTTAAAATAATCTTACCGTGGTCACACAGGTGCTATTCAGATAATATAAGTTGTTTATACTATTAATTATTTTGTATTTCCAAAAATTTATAAGACTTCTACTGTTTCTATTATATGTATTACCAGTTATGTTATTTCTATAATTACTTCAAGAGCGAACCCTCCCAACAACAACAACAACACCAATAACAAAACTATGAAGATTATCGATATCTTTATATACCATGACAAGAGCGAAGAAACCACCAACAAACACAGCTGAACTTTCCCATAGCGATTACCGTTTTTATGAATTTCAGATAGCGAAATTAATCGTTACTGCTAATCAGCGATACAATAATGATTAGGGATTTTTTAGAAAAAGGAAAAAGTAGCAAAAATAATAATTCCGAATTATTACCAAGCGAATCTATAAATTATAGTAGTTACTTTCAGTTCTCGTTTAGTTCGCTTTAACACGGTTTATTCGTTTAATCGATCTGC